AAAAAAAAAAAGACCAGGTGTGGTGGCTCACGCCTGTAATCCCAGCACTTTGGGAAGCTGAGGCGGGCTGATCACTTGAGGTCAGAAGTTCGAGACCAGCCTGGCCAACATGGTGAAACCCTGTCTCTACTAAAAATACAAAAATTAGCTGGGCGTGGTGGTGGGCACCTGCAATCCAGCTACTTGGGAGGCTGAGGCAGGAGAATCGTTTAAACCCAGGAGGTGGAGGATGCAGTGAGCTGAGATCATGCCCCTATACTCCAGCCTGGGTGATAGAGCAAGACTCCATCTCAAAAAACAAAAAGAATAGAAATGATGGGCCAGGTGTGATGGTTCATGCCTGTAATCCCAACACTTTGGAAAGCCAAGGAAGGAAGATCGCTTGAGCCCAGGAGTTCGAGACCAGCCTGGGTGACATAGCAAGACCGCATCTCATTAAAAAAAAAAAAAAAAACGGATAGAGATGACAAACGTCTAATGCAATCTGAGAAGGCTTCCTGGAAGAAGTAATGTCTGAGCTGGCCTGATGGGAGAGGTGGCATCAGGGAGCCCTTTGCTGTTTATCTATGAGTCATTCTAACGGCAGTTTCTCCCTAGACCCACCTATTTACATGTGTACATCTTCTCTTTCTCTTACAGTCATCAGTGAGTTCTGCCTCAGTCAGCTCCCAAGTGAGGACTCAGTCACCTTTGAAGACGCCAGAGGCTGAGATGCTGTGGGAGGTGTACCTGGTGCTGTGGGCTGTTCGGAAACAGCTGCGCCAGCTGTCCCGCAGGCAGGAGAGGCACAGACGGCACCATGTCCGATGCCATGCTGCCCTTCGACCCAACCCGGCTCAGTCCCTGAAACTGGATGCCCAAAGTCCCCTCTAGGGGGGGAACCCCAGACCCTCAGAGAGTCCCAACCTCATTCTTACCTGGGGTCCCATATAAGCCCCTTCATTCCCCTTCATTCCATGTATTCCATTTGTAAAAAAAATTATCAAAATATTGGGAAATAAATATCAGATAGTTCTGAGTCAGTGTGGAGTGTGTTTGTGGATGGCAGGAGGGGATGAGAGGAGTTTGGGTGGGTCAGGGAGAGACCCCTAAGGTGAGAGCCTAAATTCCAGTGGGGGTCACCTGTGGGTCTATTTGGGGGGAAGCACAGTGGTCAGCAGGTTTCTGCTCTGGGTCCCACCCCCTTCTAGGGGCCTAAATGCCCGTTTGTAACTCCACCTTTCCTTATAAGGACAGTAACAGCTGCCATTCACCAAGGACCCACTCCCGCCAGCTGCTGTCCTTAGCAGTCCTACAAGAAAGGTATTTAGGGTGGATTACGGGGCTTGTCCAACGCTCAGCGAAGGAGGCCTTGCTGGAAACTGCCAGCTCCCAGGGGAAGCCCACCGCCCTGCCTCTCTGGCGCTGTAAGGCTTTGCCATGGGCTTGGCTGTGGAGGGTTATGTGTCTGCAGACGCACATGCAGGCTGTGGGAGACGCATCCACCCGCTGTGAAGGTACTCCAGCCCCGCTGCCGGTGCCTCACCAAGAGCTGAAACTACACCTCCAGGGGGCTCTACAGGGACCATGCTCATGGCAGGGCTGGGTGAAGGCCGCAGCCTAGGAGCTGGGTAAGGGGTTTGGCCTGGCACTGTGGGAATAATGACCTGGAGGGAGGCTGTGGCAATTTGGAGGGAGGTTGGAGGGTGAGGGAGACAACAAGAAAGGAGACCCGGAAGCCTCAGGTCCCCTCTCGGAGTAGCCAGGCCACATGAAGGTGCAGAGATGGCTCCCCAGGAAAAAGCAGGGTTGTTTCACAAAAGCAACAGCAAGGCCGGGCGCAGTGACTCATGCCTATAATCCCAGCACTTTGGGAGACTGAGGTGGGAGCTCGAGCTCAGGAGTTTGAGACCAGCCTGGGCAACATAGCAAGACCTTATCTCTTAAAACATCTTTTTCACATGGTGAAATCCCGTTTCTATTAAAAATACAAAAAATTTGCTGGGTGTGGTGGCATGTGCCTATAATCCCAGCTACTTGGGAGGCTAAGACAGGAGAATCACTTGAACCTGGGAGGCAGAGGTTGCAATGAGGCGAGATTGCACCACTGCACTCCAGCCTGGGCAACAGAGTGAGACTCCATCTCAGAAAAAAAAAAAAAAGAAGGAAAAAAGAAAGGTCATGTAGCTTTCATTCTGCACATGTTACATGGCAGGTGTTCAACACATGAGTTAAGTGACTTCACTGGGAATCAGTCCTGAGTGAAGCCTAAAGTCAAAGCCTGCTTTCAGGTTTTCAGGCGGGGCCTCAAAACAGACTAATAAAGAGCAGCTCATGTCTGGAGCTTTCAATCGCCAATTATTCATCAAGTCTCCATTATGTGCCAGGAACTCTTCTGGAGGTGAATTGTGTCGATGCAGGATCTGAGTCCCAGGAAGCCCTGAGATTTAATGGGTCCTGAGGTTTGGAGTAGTACCTAGCTTTCTAACATCCAGGATCAGCCCCTCCGAGTCTTTAGAGATGAGCTCCTCATCGCTGGGGACCTGAGGTTTCAGTGAGAGGAGGGGAGGGGAGAGTAGGACGAAGATGGGCCTCTGAGGGTCACTGGTAAAATAGCCTTGCAAGTAGCTACAGGCCCAGGAGCTCATCCAGGCTTGACGGTGTGGGCTTGTGGAGAGGAATACTGCTCTCATTTTTCTTTGGCTTCTTCAGCTTTTGCAAGTGGGAGGGAAATTAAAGAAGGTGGGTTCAGCCAGCAACCAAGGCACATCCCATAGCTCTCTCCTTCCCCATATCTGGAGCCCTGTCTGGGCTTGGCTGAGCAGGGACAGGCAGACTTGTGGGAGAGGAAGGAAACGGGTGGGCAGAAGGAAGATGCCTCTTGATGACAGTCTTTTTTGTGTTTTTTTGAGATGGAGTTTCACTCTGTTGCCAAGGCTGGAGTGCAGTGGTATGATCTCGGCTCATTGCAACCTCTGTCCCCGGGGTTCAAGTGATTCTTCTGCCTCAACCTCTGGAGTAGCTGGGATTATAGGTGCCTGCCATCACACCCGACTTTTTTTTGAGACGGCGTCTCGCTCTACTGCCCAGGCTGTAGTGCAGTGGCACAATCTCTGCTCACGGCAAGCTCCGCCTCCCAGGTTCACGCCATTCTCCTGCCTCAGCCTCCCGAGTAGCTGGGATTACAGGCACGTGCCACCATGCCCAGCTAATTTTTTTTTTTTTGTATTTTTAGTAGAGAAGGGGTTTCACCATGTTAGCCAGGATGGTCTTGATCTCCTGACCTCGTGATCCGCCTGCCTCGGCCTCCCAAAGTGCTGGGATTACAGGCGTGAGCCA